ACATCGGTCTTATCAGCTTCTCCTGAGCTGATGACATCAAATCCATGTATTAAAAAAAAGGTCCAAAACTTTGCTGCAGAACTCCAGAAGCACTGAAAACAGGATGTGAAATGTGGGAAACCAATAGCTTTCTTTTCACGCAAACTACATCAGTATGAATAGACACTTGCTGCATTTTACAGGCTAAGCATATTTCAATAAACCAGGTTGAAAAAGAAAAATATTTTGTGTTGGAGACAATTGGGGTCATGGCCACAGACTCAGTCATGCTGTAGATCAAAGGTTTTCAGACTCTTTCCTGCAGTTCTTGGGAGTCTGCAGGCTGCTTCTCACTTGTCATTGACGTGGGCAAGGTTTGTTGATCTTTGAACCAAATTGAGTATAAATTCCTACCAAACAGTCTGCAGATCAGAACAGAGGTTGCAACTCCTAAGCTAGGCTTCTTGAAAGCATGCCATGAGACCACATCTCATTTGTGTAGCTCTACTACTGTCTCTGTGTAGAGTTCCAAACCTGCAAAATCCCCATGTAACAATCCCATTAGGCTCAGAGGGCCACGTAGGTACACACCAGGTACTTCCAGGCTTTCTGCTGGAGGCATGTGTGGTAAAAACTGACTAAGCTATGCTTCTCAGACTGGTTTGTTGAAATCAAGCATTATGCATTTGCTCACAATACACAGCAGGCAGCACAGAAAGTAAAAATAAGACAAATTTGTATTTGTATTTCTTCTTATTTACACAAAATTATCTTTTTGGAAACTTTGGTGAGGGAGAAGTTTGCTCTGCTGCCAACTGCATCAGTGGGTCAATGGGTTCTTTTTCTCTCCCAGTTAGCACAGCTGCACTGCTGTATCCCAACTTCACCTACCTTCAGAAGAGAGCTCAGGTCCTGCTTGTTGCATGGCAATGTTAGACACATTTCCCTGGAGGTCCAACACACGTGCACATATCCAGCAGTAACCCCTATGTGGCTCTGGCAGAGTGCTGGCTGTATCATTCCTGGCACCTGAGCTACTTCAAAGGTAGTTCATGTCCACACAGGTTGTACCCAAACCTCTGACTGCAGTGGAGAAGCAGCATCAGGGCTGTTCTCACACACATACACCCCAGACGTTGCTGAGAATCTCAGCACCATGCTATTAGGCTAGCACTTTAACGGTCATGACTGAGATACAAAAGTCTCGAAATCCTCATTGCAGTTAACCAGCTTTACTCTGTTGTGTCTACCAATAAAGAGCTTTGTCTCTCTCCGTATTTGGCTTTACCTCTCCCCAGTAGCCTTTTGACTTTAACTCCTTGCAATTCAACTGAACAAACATAAATGTGGTGTTTATTTAAAAATTACACATATTCCTTCTACTTCCATGGTATGTAAGAGTATATTTCTTAACTTATATCAAGAAATATTCATTCTAAAAAGAGTTTTTTAAAGATTGCACAGTATTTTCTACAGAAACTGATATAATAAACAAAAACCTATTCCAGAGTGATTGCAGAGCTGCAGAGCTGACTGAGCACAGCTGGATTAGCATACAGACCCTCCCTTTCCAGTCTCATTAATATTTCAGGTCATTCCACAGTGAATACATATTCCTGTGAGGAATAGCAATGTGCGAGAAGCTCTTTGTGGACTGGAATTGTACTCTTTCCATTCAAAGTCTGGTCTGGTTTTGGGCGAAGGAAAAGTGAGCCATGACGGAACTGAATCACCAGCATGGCTTCAGAAAATTTCTGCTAGATTTTGAGACTGTGAAGGAAAGAACAGTGGGGGAACGGGTGTGGATTTCTGATCTTTGCTATAGTCAATTTAGCAACATCCACAGACAGGCTGACTTGAAGTGACTGCCCAGCAGTATGAAATTCCTGTTAATAGACTGACTTATCCTAGTGATTTACAGAAAACATCTCCTTGGAATGCTTCCAAGCATACCAGAGATTCTGGCTGGCTAAGTCTCCAAAACAGTCCTCAGTTAGCAACTTCCAAACTCCACACAAGAATCAAATTGCCTCACTTGAACACTGTGCCACATTCCCTTGACCAGAGTCATCACCTCCCTCTTTAGGTGCTATTGTGAGGAAAAGTCTTTTTCTTTTAAAACAAAATAAAATGCATAGAGTCTTCAAACAAACAGACCCTGACACAGGAGAGAAAACCCAAGCCACCGGGAGAAACGCTGTTACTGCTGCTTCACAAATACTGACAATGCGTTGCTTTAGGCAGCACTGGTGCAACAACAGGAACGTTTATGGTATGCCACCCTGCCATTACCTTTGGGAAATTATCTGAAAGTTTCAGTTTGTTTTGATCTAGGTGTCCTGGCACTGATTGATAATGTAGCTAAAGCCAGTACCTCATGGCTTCTGCACAACATCGTTGTGTTCCTGTTCCCTTCTGCCTACTCCATCTCAAAGGTTACCATGCCTGCAACAAGTTGTGCTCCTATGTCAGCACTGACAGATCACAACCCCAGTTCTTTCCGTGAACGTGTCAGGGAGCTGCATTTGGGGCTCTGGTTGCTCTCCTGTGATAGCCGGCAAGCAGAGCCACCCCTTCTTCCACTGCCCCTGCCACAAATAGCTGCAACCTTTAACTGGCGGACAGGACAAGCAGCAAAGGGAAATAAATAGCCATAAGTGCCACAGCTAGAGTCAGAGCCTTAGCTCGGATGAGTCAGCACAGCCCCAGCTGTACCAGCTACGGGGCTGGCTTTGTTTCTCCATTTACAGGCTGCAAGCCAAAGCACAAAGGAAAACTTCCCAACTGATTGTCATTATTATAGTACAAGTGAAACAGATAAATCTAAAGCTTTTTCTGAAAACAGGCAGCATGCACCTTCCCTCCCCCACCCTATGAAGAGTTCAGGAAGCCTGGCAGCACTAGGCCCTTTTTTCAAGAGCATTCTGTGTTCAGGAGCATGGCCTTTTCCCTCCTGGCAGTACATCAAACGTTGTTACCACTATAGTATTTCAATGCTGCTGAACAATGCTTGCAAACATCAACTTGGCCTCTAAGCAGTTCTACTAAATTTTATGCAATCTTTTAAATCTTTCTTTCCCTGATCAATCATGCAGATAGGTTTTTGTTTACACTGACTTCCAGGAATGGGTTATCATTGTATAAATACATTCGAAGACATTTATAGGTAAAGAAGGTGGTGGCTATTTATTGATTCTTAGCACCAATGTTTCAGTCATCCAATTAAGAACCAAAAATAACACAGTGTGACCTACACACAGAATAAACAGACTGAGTGAATGCTGGAAATGCAGGGTTTGAAATACATGCAAGACTGAAATTTGTTTGCATAAGCTGTTGCAGGAACAATGCAAAACCCTATCTTAATAGAAATCAGTTTTGGCACAAAAAGACAAAGTTAGGCCAAAATCATTACATATCTTATTCACAACAAGGATTACAGTCAGTGATTTGCTAGTATTAAGCTGCTTAATGCTAAGAAATAGCATCTTATCAAATACCTGGGAAAACATGGAGCAATTTTTTTCTCTGAAGTCTTCTAGCTCTTTCGATCTTATCTTACAGTTTGGGAAACTTCCTCACTTGTCTTCATCTCATGGGAGATGAAATAAGAAGGGTCTTGTGGAGCTTGAAAAGCTAATTTACCACATACAGATCATAAAAACACATTCTTACCTCATTTGTAAGACACCTTCCTCCACAGACTCCTGCTAATGATAAAAAGGCTACGCAAGAGAAGATGTGCTCTAGTGCCTCTTCTCTGGTTATGAGAGATCACATACACTGTGTATTGCTCCAATGCATTCTGAAGAAAAGTTCTGCTAATGCAACCTTTATCTTTTTCCCAATGAGCAGATTCAGTAATCTGCTTTCAAAACTTTAACTTGCTTTGGTATTTAATTAAAATCAAATTAATTGTGTGCATATTTGTATGTTGGAACTCCTACAATATTTGAAAAAATTTAAACCAGAAACAAAATAAAGAGGCATTCCAGGATTTGTCTTTCTTTATCAGAGTGCTAAATAAACCTCCATAAGTCTCAGCCTTTAAGCAAGAGCATAGTCAAACTGGCCTTTCTCCAGTCCATCAAGTCCATCAGCCCACGTTGAGGTTGGCATACTCTGGTAGGGGTCAAGGAGAATTCGGAAGCAGCGAACAATGAGGATTCCCAAGAAAATAAATAATAAAATCACAAAGGCAAATGTTGTTTTCTGTTCCAGTGTCATGCTAGAATTTGGTGTTGTGTTCCCAGATGGCACCAAAGTGGCAGTGAATATGTCCCCATCCATCATCCAGGTTAGCTGAAATGAACAGTCCCACAGTCGCCTTCTTTTTATCATCAGTTTGCTGAGGTCAGAGTAGAAGCCATTTAGATGCACTTTGCTATCTGTAGGACAAGGGGGAGGCAATATTAACAGTGAATAGCCCTTTTTTTTTCTTTACTTCAATGCAACTTTCCCCTAAGTGAGAAAAATGAGATGGAAAAAAACTTGACAGCTGGTCTGCCTGCCTCTGTGTCATACATAAGAGACCTGTTAGAAATCCTGTACTGTTCTGTTGGCAATGTAGAATCCAGACACCAAAATTAAATGTCACTATACCCTGAGCTGGCAGTAACCCTTACCTACCCTGTCACTTGGACTGGAGTAGAAGACTTCTTTCCTGCAAGGGCGAAAACAAGGCATTTAATCATACTGCTCTGGTGGGTCATCCACAGAAATGGCAAATTGCATGGCCTGCTGCAGGACAGATGAAATGCTGTTGATGTTACTCTAAGCTGGGGGAGAGGGGTTTGCAAAACAAATGTACTGATGGTTTTATACACAATGACCAAAAATGTTTTGAGGTGGGATGGACCAGGATCTGCTGCAGGCTGATTAAATGCACATGTCCCCACGAGGGAAGGCAGCAATCATTCAGTGCCTGTAACACTGCAGCATTTATGAAGGAAAGGCATACATTAATTTGTGTTTGAAATGAAAGAAGATTTAGGAAGGAAGTCAAGTATTAATCTAGCTCAAGAATAAATGTTTCTTCTTCTTACTTAAAACCATAATCAGGCTTACAAACAGTTAGCAAGAAAAAGTTTTTTATGTCACCAGCTCTGCCACATCAAGAGAATCACCAGGATTTGGGACTGAACTGGGCTGTTTCTAGAGAGCAGAGCACATGCTGTGGTACCCCCTACCTGGCACGTTTCTCCCTTGACTGTCTGTCTGCCTACTGTAACTTCCTTCTCCCTCGCACATGGGATTTTTTCCTTCCAGCAGGAGGGAAGCACTGCTGGATGCCACACCTGGTTGTCGGCACTGCTGAAATTAGAATCATAGAATCATAGAATCAT